AAGATATTTTGAGACCCTAGGCAGGACATAGGATAGTTTTCATCTCGATAATCATCCCTTAAAGGGGTGAAATTGGGGATGAAAGTTTGTATGGGGAAGTAATCTCGGGACAAACTCAAGCGAAGCGAGGGTGAGTCGCTAGTAAGCTATAAAATAATAACGGACTTCTTCGTGTATTTCAAATAAAGTTTGTAATTGTGTTGGTGTACATTTTATTTCATATTATATGTTAATAGTCATTTTTTTAGATATTAGTGTCATTATTAAAATTGTTTCTATATAAGAGCTAAAATAAATAGCAAAGCTAAAATTATTATTTAAACAACAAGAAAATGCGCTTTTCATATAACTTTGGAGTACAATATAAACCATAAAAGACCATTAAAAAGAAAATAAATAATTATTTTTATTTAAAGGGAGTAAAGATTTTACATTAAATATAAATTTATTAGCATGTTTGATATTTTATATCCGTGGTAACGTGTCACCGCAAGTATGCTCTCAAAATCACGCAACTAACCATATACTGGTCGATTTCGCTGGTTACATCTTATCGGTACGGTCTCGGAACTACCTTTCAAAATTCACATTACTTATGTATTTTATAATTACGTAATATACAGTAAATGTCATTATTGAATTAATAAGGAGCTTATTAAACAGTTGATTATAATATTTCTCCGGAGAATACTTTCTCCGCAGATATTAGCAGGTTTCAGTGGATGCTGTAAACGTAACACTCGTTACATGTACATCGATTTTTGCTCGTGATTTCTAAAACTTATAATTGGTGGGTAAATTTGCGTCACTAGTTTGCGAGGCAATTTGAAGTCGATTGCAAAAAATCGAGGGTGTCGACCACAAAAGTCATAATTCTGAAAGCGATCGGCAGTTTTTCAATAAGCAATAAATATCGCAACGCAACGCAACGGTGGCACGCGCACGCGCCGCTAACAAGCGCCCGGCCGTGTCATCGTTGTGCAATCTGCCCCACCCAGAACAACCATTTCTAGTCAACGCTCTATTGACAAGCGGGACGCGATTGCTATTTGGGTCTTATTATATAAATTAAAAACATAATTTAAAAATTTGTAAGTAATTTATGAATTGAGATATAATTTTAAACTTTTAATTTGCAAAGTGTTGTAATTATTGACAATACAAACCAATTACAGTCATTAATCAGGCTTGTAAAATTAATTTTAAGTACGTTTACTGAACAGGTAAGTTAACGCTTATATTAACTAACTTCATATTATATATATATATATAATATGAAGTATAATATATAAATATATATATATATAATATATAAATATATATATATATATATATATATATATATATATATATATATATATATATATATATATATATACATATGATCCATATAATAACATTTATTATACAAGAGAAACTGTTAAAACCTCGTAGAGTAGGTACTCAATAAAATTCAGAGCACTTAATATGTTTCGATAAACAATACTACTGGTGATCAAAGCTTATATGTATATTTAAAATAATTTACATGTGCGATAAGAATAAATTTGTACTTTTAATATTTATTTTTTATTTTAAGTACTATATAATTATGCCTTCATCGTTAACATTTAGAATATAAAATATTGTGTATTTCTTCTCATCTCTCTCTTTCTCGTTTATAACTTGACCCATACTATTTAGAAACGATTCCGTTAAGGTACTATACATAATGAAACCTATACTTTGTTGCTGGAAATCGACTAGAATAGGGCGGCACTTACTTAATAAAATTTATTATGTAATTTAAACTTATCCGTTTCTGATAAGATTCTCTTTAAACTTATATAATGTTTGTTTAAATTTATATAACAATTTAATATTATCTTCGAGAACCTGTTATTTTTGATCTATGTTTTATTTTCATGGAATTTTAAGGACGTTAAATTATGTACTGTGTACATTGATGTTTAATGTTTTTATATATATAACTATTTATATGTTATTTTTACAATTTATCATCTATTGATGAATATTAGTGCAATTCTGTATTTCGGATCATATTTATTGATAAACTCACCCTTGCTCCGCTTAGGTTCGTCCTTAGTTACATTTTAATATTTAGTATAGATTTCTCATGATGACATATTTTTACGCAGTAAAAAGTATTCTATATGTTAGACTAAATAACCATCTATCATGATACCAATTTTCATGAAAATTTGTCTAGTGGTTTTCTCGTGATGCGTTCCTAGACGGATATAAAGACAAAAATTCTAAAAACTTTAGATTCCGCCTCTCTATCGGTAATAATTACTATTTCAATAAAATTTTCTACAAAATTCTACTCAGAATTTTTATATGTATAAATTTTAAATTAATAATAAATTCTCAATAAAAAAATAGAATGTGAAATGAAATGGAAATAAAAATCGTCATACTACTGAAGGTCACTAATTAGCGTTATAAATTCAATCGCTCGTTTGTACAATTACAATAGATCTGGGAGGTTTGTTTCTCTCAAATTATTGGCAATAAAGCTTAATCATATCGTAAAAGCGAAGCCGCACAAAGGCGGAGCGCTAAAATGCCACAGGCGTTTTAAATGTTTGATTTAAAAGTAGGGTGTCACTGCATTTAGATTGGAATAACTAAACATAGTTTTATCGTTAAAAATAAATGATTTAAGGAAGTTTTAAGTAAATGAGTTATATTATTACCTATTAGAGAATATTTTATTAACTGTCTTTTCCTTTATATTTTTTCTATTAACGATTCTGGCAGAAAGTAAAAAAGAAACGTTTTTTTTAATGTCCCAAAGGCATTTTCGTACATTCATTATATACGCACATATGTATATATATATATATATATATATATATATATATAGTGTTTGGTGGACAAAAATAAAATACACAAATTAATTTAATGTTATTTATTTCATTTTGACAAGGTAATCGGTGACCTTCAAACGCCTAATAGATATCAAAAGTACAAAACGACAAAGGTAATAATCTCTATTACTTATACAATCTAGTGATAAGTTAAATAGCATCTCTTATATGCTTAACGATATGATTTGGTACGAGTATACTATAGAATAAGGACATGGCAAATTGTTTTATTATTAAGGTAACACTGACTCAGGATTGTGGATTGAAAGAAACAGGCTTTACAGGCATTCACATTCGGTATTAAATTATATAATCCGTGTCTGTATCATCGTATTTTTCGTTGTAATATGATTTATTATTTATATTTAAACTAGCGATAATAGTAATTAAGATATTTTTCAATTTTTAATACCAATTTTACACCCTCGATTGCGAGGATCGAATGTTGAAATTAAGGTAAAACCACAGATTTCATAGTTACTGTACAGGTATAGGGTAATAGTTACATACATGGTGAATGTTAGTTGTTTCAAAGGGATAAATGTTCAGCACAAAAGAATAACAACTAAGGCTGTCTCATATTTTTGTTCTGTATCACATTATTTCAATACAATTACATTATATTCATGTATTGTTAACCGACTTCAAAAAAAGTTTATACTCAAAACGGCTGTATGTTTTTTTTGTGTACAATGCGCGATAGTTTCCCAAATTGCGATTTAAAAAAAGGTTATTCCTTAAGGGTGCAATTATTACTTGAAATTGATTTTGAAGTCAGTGTAACTTTTAAGTATCAAACTTACCTAGTAATTTTTTTGAGACAGAAAATACTGATGTAGCAAATAAGGAAATAGAGGCGTGACAAACACGAAAACAGAACGAAATAAGAAAAAAACATTCAATACTTTATACTCGTAACAATAATAGAGATCTATCTATACTTAAAGGAACGTTTACATAAGTTCTTTGAAAGACTTCCGTCAACCTTTTGATAAAATATTAATATACACGGATCCAATTGCAGCCAAGTAATAAATAAAATCACAGATGTTTTATCTTAATTTAGTATAAAGATTCATAAACGAGTGTTATTAGTTTTACAAAATAATCTGTATATATATAATTTTCTATATAAAATCTCAGATATAAAATTAATTTCTAATTTTCGTAATATTTTTAAACATAACAATCAGGGCGGCGAACGTCCAAACCATAAAAATCATAATAATCGTACTCTGTGGCTTTGCTCTAAAACTAAATAATTTACGCAACACACAGTATAAAATTCTTCACTGATCATATCATTTTCATGCTACTTTTCTAACATTTTATAAAATTATTTATTTGATCAATAAGCAACAAGTCATATGTTAATTGGTAACCGGCGTTTCCTTTCAGACTAAAACACTAACATATAACATCAAATGAAGCAAAATTTACAAAAATAATACAAAATCTACTTACATCCATAGGTTTTTATTTTATAACTAAATCTAAAGTAGCGAACACTCTGAACACTTATAAAGATACCTATTACGTCTTTTATGCACATAGAATAAAAAATAAATTCTAAGATCGTATAACTTTATCGGTAGTAAAATTCGGTACGCGTTCTAACTAAACTACTTTGAACAATAGCATCATCATATATTTACATTATTTAAGTATAACGTGATTTCCGATTTTTATTGCGGTAATTTCAAGATTCGATTATTTTTACTCTTTTGCGGTACGAGTAAGATACGTACATGAATAAACTTACTTTTTAATGAATTATCAAATTGTTTTTAGTATGGAGCGCAATCGGAATGCACGTTAAAGACGACATCACTACAACCCTCGAGCCGACACAAATTCGTGAGCAAATACATCGGTAACAATTAGGAATATTTGATAAGTGTTCACTCACATGAAACTTTTCAACGCAATATAATATTACAGTCAATACACAGTGGAATATGAAACATTTAATATGTGACAACGGCTATCAATGGCGTGACTTTCCTATAAATTAATCAATCCTGAAATCTCAAAGTCAACGACATACAGTTGTAATTACACTTAAGAGTCATTTGGATGCATCGACCAGATAATTGTATATTGGAATATTTCTTTCGTTCACTATCAGGTATGGTCCACTACACTAGCGGCCGTGGCGGCGCGACGTGTCGGCGCCACTCGTCCCATGAAGGACCTAATCTCCTCGAAATAAGTCTCCTCTGGTGATCTCCGGCGGTTGTCATCACCATTTTCTGCTTCGTGTTTCTTTAAATGCCTGTCCAAATTCGTTTGCTGTCCGAAACATCGGTCGCAATGACGACATCTGAACGGCCTCTCTTTGTTGTGAATATTTCGCACATGTCTTTGCAAGTTTGAAGATATTGAGAAGGATCTTTCACAATATTTGCACCGATAGGGCTGCTCGCCCGTATGTGTTCGTAGATGTCTCGTTAGGTTAGCACTCCGTGGGAACGCTTTCCCACAGTAGGAGCATGTATATCGGTCACGTGCCCTGTTTACTCCAGGGTTTTGAGGAACTGCTGGGGCTCTCGGAGCACCGGGGGCTAGTAATGTCGCCGCCGCGGCTGGCAAGAAAGGGTAACGTCCGAACGACGCTGGTAGCGCTAGAGGCAATCGGCGGCAGAACTGTAAGAGCGCCGGATGTGCTGGATGTGCCGGATGCGTCGGGTGCGGTGGCGGTGACTGAGTAATGAGATTACAGTTTTCATCTTCTAATCGCTGCGGGCGTTTGTGCGTGACTCTTAGGTCAAGAGGTTCATCTGCGCGGGGAGAGCCGAGAGGGCTGGGATGCCGCTCGAGGGGCGAAGAGGGCGGCGAGGCGAGGCGGCGCGGCGCCGCGTGCTTTTCGCGCATGGCGGCCGCCGCGCACGCGCTCATCGGGCTCGTGCGCCACCGACCTGAAACAACACACCTTGGTTTAAATATATATCCTTAACATGTGCATAAAGTCTGTATCTGTAATAAAATATGTGTTTTGCCAAGTCCATTTTATATATACATTGTAATTATGATGATATATTATCGTATACAAAAATGACGAAAATAAGGACATCGTTAAGTAAATTCGTAGTGAAATTACGAAATGACCAGTGTGGGGTGACCATCTGATAGACGCTCCTACGCTCGCCTTCGACGCACGCCCACAGCCTTGCGACATCGAAACTAGAGCAATCGATTCAGAAACGATGATTTTTAAATTAATTATCAGCTATAGTTTATTGGGTAGTTTACGATGAGGTAAATACACACTATAAGCCAACAAGATTGCAAATGCCTTACTTAAAATGAAATTGATGTGATTGATATTAATAGTGTTTACAATATCCATATATTTTGACGATAATTGACGGGAAAGTAAACTTTACTAAATATAGCGCTGAATGCATTTATTTTATTATAATCTGTAAAATTTGTAAATGAGTTTCTGTATATTTTACAGAGACAGATTATAACTGAGCACTTCCATATATGTATGTACGTACAAGAGCAAATAAGTAATATACTTAAAAGTTAATATTTTCATGTATGAAAACAAGTTTTGTCTTACTTATTTCGTCCCTTTCACCTGATCCAATTTCGTATACAACCTCACTACCTATACACTTGTAAAAAGTTACCGTATTTTAGTTAACAGCTTCATTCGTGTGATCGATCAGTTCAACGAGTTCTGTCATTCGTCATGGAGACACGAGCACTAGACCGGTCGGAGATTTAGTTGCAGATATCACTATGCATGAGGCGTACCAATTTTCTAATACGGATTTGTTTATAGTTTATACTTATTGGTCTATTTGATTTTACGTGTACGGCTTATGTACGTATATATTAAATAATAATCTACGCAACTTATATTTTAATGATCATGTAACAAGTTTTGAGGTTTGTCAATTTTACATAATATTCCACCAATATTAAAGTATATCTTCCAATTTGTCTGAGAAAGTTTCATTTTAATTGGTGCATCTGTCATACATCAATTTTCTTAATATGTAATAGATTTATATTTATAGTTTATTAATCTGAAAAAATATTTAATATATTTATATAGATATTAGATACTGAAATGTCAAAATTTCGCAATAAGATAGGTAGAGACTAAAGGACGATGTCGCATATTTGTGGGTTAACGCCTACGATCAAACACGCCGCTAATTTGTACCAAAAGGAGACGACATAAATCCTTAAAACAAAGTCAGCTATCGACTTCTCGGAAGCCTTATTTGGAGAGCTCGTGAGGCCAGTGTCGCTTGTTTATGATTTGTTACAATGTTTCGTTATTGGCTCTCCGGGAATAAAAACATCGTTACGAAAATATTTTTATATATTTTCGCCATATTTTATATTCTTGAATAATAAAAAGCAATTATGAATTCGTGTATTTCTAAAAACAATATTTCATGGTTGAATTAGAATCTATAGGGAGTTAATAAAAACTTTGAACTAGAATGAAATCTAGGAATAGAACCCGCAATCACCAATCTGTTACAGAGCAGAGTTTAATATATTTATACTTCCATATTCGATGTTGTTGCAAACAATTTTGCACGTACTTGATACTAATAGTAGTTTATAGGTAGTATTCCTATAATAACAAAGTATTACCTACAACTTCGAGCTTCTGAGTGTCTGCACGTTCAATAAATAACATTTAGAACATATTTGAGTGTATCTAAACTCTAGTCACGATGTACTAATTACTTGTAATTAGCGTTTAGAAGCATCGTGACGTATTGCGTGGTAGGCGGAGCGAACACGGTTATGTGTGTTAATGTAAATAGCGTGGCCAATGAGCGCCATCACGCCGCGCCGCCCTGTGATATATTAGCATTTGAATCGTTTACTCGATGCCGCTACCACGGACGCCACTCTAAACGATTCGACTGCTGACTTTTGTCGGCTTTCATGCATTTCAAATAGGCTCGTCGACGCGTCCCACCACTCAGTTATGTAATTTTAATAATTTACACCATTCGATACGCTGTATGTAAAATCTATTTATTGATTTCTATAATGTTGTTGCGATAAAGCGTGCCGTCTATAAATTGCTTTATTTATTTCGCTAGATTATCAGCTAATAATAATTTAGTTACTATATTGAAGGAGAGGTGTGAATTAAAGTGAGACATCGTAATTTAATATGTAATGATTCTATTCCGTGTAAACAGTGCGGTTCCTATTACTTAGAAATGTATGTGTTTTAATACCATTATTTATGCTATATGTTATGGAAATTCATTTTATATTTGATTTTAGATATTTTAACAGTTTACTAGTATGTATGAACATGTTTATTTGTGTTGTGTTAGTATTATGAATATTTTAACAAATGTTAAAAAATTATATAGTGATACTGCTTATAAATGAGTTTGTATGTGTATCTCTTCACATTGAAACGACTGGACATAGTCGGATGAAAAGTATAGATATAGATAGTGTGTGGTCTGGAGTACCACATAGGTTACTGCTAGTAATAATATTTGACGAACGGTGGCGCCATCTATAAGCCCGTAAGCGAATGATGATAAATCGCTTGTTTAAACTCTAAAATAAGGTTTCATCTTTAACAATAGAATTATCTGAAACAAGTTAATGGCACGACAAAATCCAGTTGCGACAAAGGGTCATAGACGAGATCTTACTTGATTCACTTCATAAATCTATCATCACGGCGACTACTAAGCGTTTAGGTATTATCGTGACTTACTACGTCCGCTCATCAATCAAGTCTATCAACTATAGACATTATCAGTAGAGCTTCTGTGCAGATTAAATTAAAACTTCTGTTCAAGAATATAAAGTGTATATTAGCATGAATATTATATAGTCTAAGGAACTAAACAGTGTGTGAAGTAAGCTGCCAATGATACGCGTTTTGCATGGCCGCCAGTGCGGAACACATGGGTGGTACGTAGCTTACCGACGATAAAAATACATGCAGATATTAATTTATTGTGTACAACATAGCTAGCAAATAAGAAACTTCCATTTTGTTTACTATTCATTCTATTAGTAATTATGTGTATGGTTTAATCTGATTTATATTTAATCTATCCGCGTAAATTGTATCATAAAAGTTTGATATTATTATTTATCTAGCATTTCCCGCGGCTCCGCCCGCGTTCAGAAGACCAAAAACCAAATTTTTAGGTTTTACGTATTAGTATACTCTGATAATGCAGTGTTTGTATTTTTCTCAGAAATGAGATATTTTCCCGCGGTAAAAAGTATCCTATATGTTTACCCGGATGACCAGCTATCACTATACCAAATTTCATCAAAATCCCTAAAGTGGTTTTCCTGTGATGCGGTAACAGACAGACAGACAGACAAAAATTCTAAAAACTATAAATTCGGCCTCTGCATCGATAATAATGTCTATGTTAATAACATTTTCCAAAAAATACTTAATGTACAGATTCGGCTTGCTTACAATTTTATTATATGTACATCTACTATTTATATTTCATGTAAAAAGTAGCCTATGCCACTCTCTAGCCCTCCAAATATCTCCACACAAAAATCTGCCAATCCATTACTCTGATTCGACGTGAAAGAAGGAAAACAAACAAACACACTTTCACATTTATAATATTAGTATGGACGTGCATGATTTATACTATATGCAAGTCTTGCTACGTGTATTGTATGTCTCGAACTCCATAATACTATGTTTCTTCGTTAATGTTGTTCTCATCTTTTTTATTGAATATACATCTGTTGTTTATGTGTCTAAATTATTAAGAAAAAGAGTTAAGAGTCGCCATTTAACTTGTAGAATATCAAGGACCTACTAGAAATAATTCTCCTTCTATAAATTCTTTAAAGAGCAAGTATGTATGTGTCAATTCTAATTTCTGTATAATAAATATTTCTTTGAGAACACAAAAACATAACAATATACTTTCAGTTTCGATTTGTTATATACATAAATCAATAATTAATAAATAATTATTTTCCTATACAAGGTGGTAATTAAAAATACATAAAATTCAGTAATGTTCAGCTAAATGTATGAAACGAAATAAAAATATGAACAAAAAAGTTGTATTACGATAAATCCGAAGCACGCAGAGACATAAGCCATCATTGGCACTATAAAATCCTTTAAAAATATCCCAATTTGGTAACAAAATGTCGACAGTTATGAATTTATTCATATAATATTTCCGTTGGTATATTGTGTATTGCTAAAGCGCAAGTTGAATCAAATCAGTCAATCTCATATGTCACGAATAGTCGACATATTCTCTCATAAGATCGAGGCCGCAGGAGATTCACACGGTAGTTTTTAGGCCCATATCGATAACTATAATCTTTGATTTATTTCACATCACTATTTTAGGAAACGCGTCGCGCCGATCACCGTATGGTATGAAATTACTATCCGATGTTGAACTCTGTATGAGAAATAAATGTATTGACTTAGATGAATCGGTTATGTACACGGGTATGTTATAGTATACTGTGAATAGTAAAGAAAAACTCTATGGATACGAAATCCCACGCACATTATACTGGTCTCATCGTGCTGTACATACAAGTTTATTAATATATGATGTATGTAAACATTAATATGTGTATGTATTTATCTGTGGACTCTAAAACGGCTGGAACGATTATGATGAAATTTTCAGACAATCTTCAGGTTAGCCTAGTGGGGTGATCCTGTGAAGTTTGGTAGTGAACAGAAGTCTGAACGCGGCTCAAGCCGCGGGTACTGCTAGTTTTTATAAGATTAAATATTTCTTATACACATTTTATATTAATGACAAAAGTACTTTGAAATCTAGTTTTGATAAAAACCTTCTATTCGAGGTCAAATACCTTTTTTCTTACCTTTATTTACTATGCGTAAAAAATTAAAAAAAATTGGTATGTTAAATACCCCACAGAATGATTCAAAGATATATGTTGCAAAAATTGAAGTACCTAACACACGTTGCTATTGGTGGCCTCCAAAGATTTTATCATGAATGAAATAGAAGAATTACAAACTAAATTATAAACGACTAATGTTTCACCCTCGCTTTGCTCGGGTTCGTCCTTAGGTTGCTTCCCCCTGCAAACTTTCATCCCCACTTTTACCCCTTTAAGGGATGATTTACGAGATAAAAACTATCCTAGGTCCTTTCCAAAGTCTCAAACTATCTTCTTACTAAATTTCATCTAAATCGGTTCAGTAGTTTTACTATTCGATAAAACAAACAAACAACGAACAAAAAAATCTTTACTCTTTATAATATTAGTATGGATAGCGCTATATATTATACTTCAACAACATTCGCTAAAAGGAAAGCGGTCTAGGTGTTGTTTGTAAAATCTATTTAATTTTGTAATAAACTGTTTTATAAGGTTAAGAGGAAGAAATTCTTCTGTAGTTTCCGAGTTATGGCCATTTAGGCAGAAATACGGTTATGTCCGTCTAATTACCGGTATCTCGTAAAATCTAAGCACCAGCAGAACACTTCTAGCTCAACCTCTACACAGTTTCATAGATTTGTTGTTATTTAAACAAAATCATGTATTCAAATACTGTAGCTACGAGCATCATAAATAAAATGCGCAAGTAATCTTGGTTATTTAAATATTTAGTAGTATTTAGTGTAGTTAACTGTTATAAAGTCACCTGCCATCTGTTAGGTTTATACTTAATTTTTTAACATTTGATTCAAGTAAATGAATAAATTTGTGTCGTACAAACATATTACATGTATTTGAAGTTTCTATCGATATTAATGTTGATGATGATGTTGTCCTGGCCGATTCCGGCTACGGCGGCCAATCTCATTGAGACTAGACTACTGCGCAAGAGATATTATAGTGTACAAGTGTGCGCGCTGACACAAGTGCACTCTCTATTTCTGTCACTCTCATACTCTGGTGGGACGACCACTCGACACGACCAGTAAGAGTTAAGGCGCAGGACCGACGGCTTTACGTGCTCTGCGAGGCACGGGGGTGAAACACCGCCAACTTCCCAACTCCGGGCTGTTCCTGAGACTTACTATACAGAAAGACTCAATAACTAAACTTGGCCCGACCCGGGACCCGAACCCAGGACCTCCGAATGTGCAGCCGTACATGCTAGCCACTACACCACTGAGGCAGTTCGATAATAATAATAGATAATTAAATTTAAAGATTGGCAATAGGTAGATGAAACACATACCCACGAGAATTTATATAAAAATTTTAATATCACTTCCTACATGTGTATCGAACATATGTATGTATATTTTTTTATAGCTAAGTATATCTAATACTGCAATAAATACAAGGTTGCAAATTATTAAAGCCATCTACTTGTAAATTGCAAAAATATGGAGGGTTTGAATATCAAGGATATCATTAGACTGCATCTGATAACGACTCGCACAAAAACAAAGGCTTAAAGGTAAGAATAATTAAGAAAAATATTAATTTTCTTCAATTAATTTTAAGTTTTATTAGATAATATTCCGTTATACGTTAAATGAAGGTTAACGATTGTGATTATTCCATTACAGATATAATAGTGTATTTTCATTATTTATTCAGCATATAATCTCCACAAAATTGTAGAAGGTAGATAGCAAGAGTTGTCTCATAAATTACATCGCGGTATTAGAATGAAGGCAGGATACTTAGCACATTTGCATTGGTGATTCG